CTTCAAAAAGTAGCCCTAAGAAATTTTGGGATCTTGTACGTAAATATAAGAAGCTAATGATTTTTATGAACATTTTAAGTCACTGTTTTCAGATACTAACATTTTTAGCGACCAAGATGTGGAAAATACTGTTAATGATGAAACTTTTGTACATGCTATAGAGCAGTTAGATTGTGAATTTTCAGATGATGAATTTTATAAAAACGTCAGAAAAGTGCTGGTGAGGATATGTTAATTTCCGAAATATTTTTAGACTCTAAACATATTATTGCACCTTTGTTATGTAAATTGTTTAATTATATGTATAGTAATTGTGCGTACCCAGACTCGTGGACCAAAGGCATATTGGTCCCTGTACCTAAAAAAGGAGATCCAAATATCGCTGATAATTATAGAGGTATTATGTTAACCAGTATATTTTCTAAAATATTTTCTCAACTTTTAGATACAAGGGCCAGAAGTTTTATTGAAAATAAACAATTATTAACCGATTGTCAATATGGATTTCGTCAGAATCGTAGCACTATAAATTGTATATTTGTTTTGCAAAGTTTGATAAATAGAATTTTACATCAAGAAAAAAGAAACTGTATTGTGCATTTGTAGATTTTAACTAGAAATGTGTCCATAGGACACGGGTGCCCCCACCGCGCCACTGTTCTGTCAATTTTTTTACTAAGTCAAGGGAAATAACTCTACAAATATTTGATAAATCCACAAACGAAACCCCAAGTGCAAATCTAAAATATGCTGAGCAACCTGCCCATAAGGTTTAATGACTATGTCAAATCCAAATTGAAAATTGCAAAAAATTTCTAAGTGAAGGGCAATAACTCTAAAAATACTAAACGAATCCAGACAAAAATACCTGGTGCACAACTGCAAATGCTGATCAATATTCCTGTAAAGTTACATGACTCTAGGTCAAATACTTTTTGAGTTACGTGCGACACAAGTTGAAAATTGCAAAATTTTACTAAGTCAAGGGCAATCACTCTGAAAATACTAAAAATATCCACACGAAAATACCCAGGTGCACAACTACACATGCTGATCAACATTCCTGTAAAGTTTCATAACTCTAGGTCAAATACTTTTTGAGTTACATGCGACACAAGTTGAAAATTGCAAAATTTACTTAGTCATGGGCAATAACTCTGAGAATACTAATAATATCCAGACGAAAATACCCAGTTGCACAACTACACACGCTGATTAACATTCCTGTAAAGTTTCATGACTCTAGGTAAAATTCTTTTTGAGTTACGTGCGACACAAGTTGAAAATTGCAAAATTTTACTATGTCAAGAGCAATAACTCTGAAAATACAAAAAAAATATCCACACGAAAATACCCAGGTGCACAACTACACATGCTGATCAACATTCCTGTAAAGTTTCATGACTCTAGGTCAAAAACTTTTTGAGTTACATGCGACACAAGTTGAAAATTGCAAAATTTTACAAAGTCAAGGGCAATAACTCTGAAAATACTGAAAATATCCACACGAAAATATCCAGGTGCACAACTACACATGCTGATCAACATTCTGTAAAGTTTCATGACTCTAGATCAAATACTTTTCGAGTTACGTGCGACACAAAAGTGAACGGACGGACGGAAGGACGGACGGAAGGACGGACGGACGGACGTACGGACAGACGGACGGACGGACAAGGGTAAATCTAAATGCCCGCCACTAACGTGGGGGCACAAAAAGGCATTCGACCTTGTGTATAGAAATGGAATATGGTTTAAGTTGTTGAATTATCAGATGTTGTCTTAATTTATTAATATATTAAAAGCTATGTATCGATTAGCTACAAGCATAATTAAACGAGAAAAAGCATGATAAAATGCATGCTTGTCGGGATTGAGAAGGTTTATAAAGCTCCGCAAGATAAACTTTCTCACTAACCGGATAAAACTTCCTCATTCCGACATCATCCATGTATTCTCTATATAATAATGAAAACGGGCCCTTGTATTTACACCAACAGTATTGAAGACGGGCCCTTGTATTTACACCAACACGATGCTAGTGTGTAATGTCTTAAGTTTGACACCGTCAAACCCTTTGCTCCTAAATATCTTTTTGCAAAATATTAAGCTATGATTTTCGGAGTTAATTGATTGAGTAATTTAAAGTCTCATCAATGTACCCACTATAACAGTGACTTGCATTTATATACATTTCTAATCCAAATAAATTACTAACATCTCAATATTATGATGTACCTTCTTCGACATTGAAATTACGACAGAAGTCCCAAATATCTGAAAACAGTATCAAATAAGAAAGAATAATGTATGACAAAAAACTGCTCTGTTTACGGCAATAAAATATTCAGTCTGTCTGTCTTCTTTCAAACGAGTCTAGTGTTGGATTAGAAATGGAAATCCGTATAGTGGCCTCGCAAGTTTGTTTTGTTTGTTTCATTTTACGCCTTTTCCAAACAGTATTTCAGTCATATAGGCGAGTAGTTTCCTAACCATCATTCCAGGAGAGTTACACCAGTACTAGACTACCTTCCTCCGTGCTAAACTACCAAAACATTTCCCGGGGAGCGAAGCACGACAGAGAGGAACCTGGCAAGTAATCGGACGAATGGTTTTTCAAATTCTGAAAGCAACCGTACATTGAAAAAACTCCAAAAGTGTTAATTTCAGTGTCAATTTTTCTTAACCAATGTGCTCTAACCGAAATTCCCTAATTTTCTAATACTTAGAAAGTTATTCTTCAAAGAGTCATGAGGGTATTAATCGGTGCTAGAAGTCGACGTAATATGACATTTTTGAGAAACCGAAGTGAGAAATTAAATTATTAGAAAAATATAGTTTTTTTCACAAGGACCATACCGAGAAATCTTTTCATGTAAGGCCACCTCATAAAGATAAACATTTCTTCAAAGAGCGACTTTTACTGAACTATTTTACCTGTATTTAAAACTAAATCCGCGTAAATTGCCGTGTATAACTTGCTTGCAAACGGAAGTTATAGTGGACACTGGTGTGTATACTGTTCTATAACTATCCTCATCCAGAAATAATTAACACTATACATGTACTTTTATAATCTTACCAAATATAATTATGCTATTAATTGTATTTATTTTATGAATAATTTTTATACATTTCTTGCACAGAAATTAATTTATTCAAGTGTCCCAATTATCAAAACATAACTACTTATGATCCCCGTAGGATTAGGATGAACAAATTCTTATTAAATATCTAAGCTCAAGGCCATTTAACTTCTGATAAGCAGATTTGTTTTTATAGAAAATTGTTACTTAAGTCATGTTAACCTGACCTACAGAGCGGACCATTTTATTTCACTGTTCCTTCTTTTAAACAAAGACGTCGACCAGGTCAGGTTACGCATCTAATTATCTAATCTGTAGACATAGTGGCTCCTTGCTAGAAGATTTCAGGAGTTTACGATAAGTAGAGCCCAGTTGTCAGGCTTTGAACAGTCATATAAGTTGTGCAGTTTTCAACCATTTGATTTATATTTCATTGTTTTCTTTAGGGATTCTTATTTCTCTCTATTTTATCGCCACATCAGCGTTGTTTGTGCCGTGTGGAGGCTGTAAAAAGTCGCCCCGTACATTCAATCAGGGATGTTATATTTCCGATCCTTAAAGATCGTTCAGCACAAGATTATTGATGTGCTTGTGGTATTTTTAGTTTCAACTTTTAGGCATTTTCTAGTTGGGTGGTTCCAATATTCCTACTTGAATAATGTTGAATCACCCTTAGGATATGTTGCCTGCTTTTTAAATTTGTCTTTTGGCGTCTTATCTGTGATACGCAGGCTTCATAACCTCTGATCCCCTTTCAAAATTCCATTTTATTTAGTTCCGCCCATTGTTTTCTCGTTTAGGGCACACGCCTTTTTTTACTTGGGGACAATACGCCGCTTTTCATTGAATGGCACGGAAGAAATAAGAATCCCAAAAGAAAGCCCAACACGGCACAATTGAAAATGTTGCAGGCTCGGTTTGATTGAGCCTGTTCATGGACGGTACTGTCAAGTGCAAACTACCGACCACGCCCCCTAGCACCGGCTTAAGCAGAATTCAACATTTAAACATGAAATAGTAAAATTTTGAATTTAGAAACATCCGCAGATGTGTTCATACGGCAGTTATCATGGAACCTTCAATGTGACACTTCCGTGCCATTCAATGAAAAGCGGCGTATTGTCCCCAAGTAAAAAAAGGCGTGTGCCCTAAACGAGAAAACAATGGGCGGAACTAAATAAAATGGAATTTTGAAAGGGGATCAGAGGTTATGAAGCCTGCATATAAAAAGCAGGCATCTTAGCCTAAGGTTGATTCAACAGTATTCAAGTGAGGAATGTAAAATTACCATCGGATAAAGATCATTAGCATGGATCATGATATGCATTATAAAAAAAACAGATGTTTTACCTTAACCCCTTAACAAATGAGGTATCCATGCGATCAATATCTGTGGATTTGTAAGTGTACCAAAATAGCCATACTTTAGATGTATTAATTTTGCAAATTATCATACGTTTTATTGTGGCCTATTAAAATTACTTTGGCAAGGCAAATGTTATATCTTGGCCAATAAGAAATTCGTTGGAAGTGTCAAGTTATAATTAAGTGTCAAGTTATAATCATTAAATTATACTAGAATCTGACAAGATCAAACTTTTAAAACTCAGGACTTGAAACCTAGTTTTAAAAAAGGCACCAAGGCAATTACATTATTAACAGCAATACAAAACAAAAATACAAAACAAACAAAAAACACAAAAAAAACCCCAAAAAACAACAAAAAAAAGAGAGAGAAAAAAAGAAGAAAGTAAAAAACGAAAAGGGTAAGAAAATAATAAAAAAAACGGACGCAAACAATTAAATAAATACGCCGCAGTTCCTAAATACCTAATTATGTCAAATTATGATACAAAATAATCAAATCCGCTTTTCAGCGATTAAAAGGGTAAAATCTTGAATAGGCAAACGGAGTTGCAAGAAGAAATAGGTAATTTTGGTGAAGATAAATATATATGTAAGGAAGATGTATGGAAAGAGATATGTACAGTGTTAAGGGGTAAGTGATATTTTGTACAATAAAATGACTTCAGAATTTAAATCTATGTGACTGAATTATTTACATGTTTAAAAGTTATGCAGGTTTCGTGAACGAAATCATTGCGTTGAAACTCTTAGTCTTGCTCAGCATAAATTCAACGACATTATAACATAAAATAAAACAAAAATAAACAATTGGTTACAAAGATATATAAAGTTTTATTGGTGTTTATAATTAAATGTTATTAAAAGCAGGTGACTGTTTTATCATTTAAATCATTTAAGGTAGGGGCGTGTGTTAGATGACAGAGTGATTATGTCTCAGTCAAATATTCATTTCTACACATCATGCACATACTTAATATTGATAAAAGGCTGAGTTTAGTGAACTTAGCTTGCCTTATAATCTCCTGATGTCTCTTCTTTTTTTAAATACAATTTCATGTTAAATGTTGTTTAAGCGGTCGTAGGGGGCGTGTACTGCTAACAGCTTGCACATTTCTGTACCGTCCATAAACAGTCTCGATCAAACCGAACCGGTAACATTTTCAAATTTTCAGTCGTTATTTCCCTTTTCTCAATATTGTTGATCTTCTTTTTTCTTTTTTTTTTCTCTCTTAATTTCAGATTCATAAGATGTTTGGTTAATGTATGAATTATGAACATTTTAACCTTACGATGGTGAGATTATTCTTCACGCAAGATCAACTCATATATGTGATTCTCTATCATCTGATAGTGTGTACACATTTAGGTTTGTAATTTATTTCATCTCTATCATCTGACATTGTATATATACATTTATTTAGGTTTATTCTTTATTTCACGTCAGTCATAAGTTTTAACAATATTTTATTTATAATCCATACATTTACATAATAAAGTACATTAAATAAATGTTACGGATTGAGTAGGAAGCTTGTAAAGCATTTTTTTTATTTCATCTAAATCATTAAGACAATGATATATTGTAATTTATTTTATGTTTGTGCCATTGTGTTAGTGATCATTTACTTCTTAGATCTCATAATAAATTGAAATGTATTGTTTCATACAATATAGCAAATACTGTCTTAATTTTAACTACTTAGTTCACAAATATAGATAAATACCTTGATATGCTTTGTAGTTTTCAATATTAATGCATCTGTTTATTATTGTCACTATATTACTAACATGTTATATTCACTGTATAATCTTAGTTTTAACATTGTATTTTAGTATGGAGCCAGTGCACACCTAATAATTATGCGAACGTGTCGACAACAACAACTTATCGGGAGTTAACCAGTCCTGGATATCCATCAAATTATCCAGCGTAAGTATCTGAAATATTGATTTGTTTGATAAAATAATATAATACACGTACATAAAATCGTAAATAGTCTTCATTTTTAAATTTCTTATCAATAAAGAATAACGATTGTTTAGACAATTGAAAATGCTTAGATTATTAAAATTGTAAAGAGTTGAATTCTACAATATGTTTCAGGAATCTGGACTGTTTGTGGTATATAGAAACAGATAATAGTTCTTACGTTATAAGACTAGAATTCCTGGAATTTTCTACAGAGGATACGGGTTATTGTTTAGAAGATAAAGTTGTAATATATGACGGTATGTGCTATATTACACTTGTAATTGTTATAATGAAAATTGTGTCGTATTTATGCGCTTCATTACACCACAGTGTCTGTAACCGTGTAAAGATGTGTTTCTATATGATTACATTGTCATGATACAAATATAGCAGCTGGGATTGTTAACCTTTGTAAGGGGAGAAAGGGTAGGCAGGCTTGACCGTAGCTTGCAATTACCCCTCCAGTTTATACCTTGTGACACTTTAAGGCTTCCGTTTTTATCTATTTTGACTTTCTCCTAAACGTTAGCCACTTTTATCTTCATAATACCGATTTAACTGGTACGAAATAAATAAAAGTATGTCAAACAAGTAATTTGAATAAACATCTTATTATAAAAAGCATCATCTTGTTTATGTATATAATCTAATCCGTATGCTTTATTGATACAAACTGGATAATTATGATTTGTTTCTTATTTTGAAGGTGAGCCGCATTATTCGAATTATTTAGAGACATATTGTGGTAGGAAGATACCAGATCCAATTGTCAGTATAGGAGTATTGCTCACTATAAAACTACAAACTGACTCCTCGAAACATTCTACAGGCTTCAAGGCGAGATATATAGCAGGGCCCGAATGTAAGTTGTTTTTTATTTCAGTTAACCTATATACATGCATTTACGTGTGCCTGTAAATGCACCTTTCTTTGGTTTGTAAAACATTAGTTTAATAGTTTTCTTACCTACATGTTTTCCTTCTTCACCTTTAAAGTTCAATGAATTAATGTAATGTTCAGGTTGACGCCAGTTGTCCAGCAAAATTACATGTGACCGCCTAACTATAGACGATTTCGCAAAATATTCATTATATAATTTTATGATTTCTTTTCTTCAGTCGTAGGGATTACAATAGGCAGTTTACGGTCTGTATATATTTGAAAGGTTGACACAGTGGTAAATTTATTTAATGCTTGGAGGCACTCGGCGCTGTGTACTTTAACTTATATGTCGAACCGCTAAAATTTAGTTGTGTTGAATATTATCAGTACATTTAACATGAAATGTTACTGTTTGAGCAATATAAATCCTTTCCTTGCTCGTAGAATTCCTTCCATTTTGGTTTAGTAAATCCCGGTGCAATATAATAAAAGTCAGCACGTGGAACGTCACAGACTCGTAGCGATCTTTTAGTCCGCAAAATGTTTGTTGGCCGTTATAATTTTTGATTGGCAGGGATTCATTTTATTTACCCTTTGTCGTATCACAGTAACGTGTTATGGCTAAGAGTGTTGTTTTGTGTACTATTAACAATCCCATTAGCGTGTTTGATGCTGCCTGAAAATATATGTCTTTTTTATTGCTTCATGTAAATTTTGTGACACCTTTTGTGTTCCTTCCTGATTTATTTTTCTTAAACGGTAAATATCCTATACCCATAGTTATATTTATTAATTTTTCCCCTTTCCCAACTTATCCGTGTGCCGGCCCGTTTGGCCTTTCCTTATTTTGTTCTATGCCCTGCTTGGAAACTTGCTGGCGGTCCTTTATCACCCGTTTTATTAGGGGATGCGTTCATTCGATGCCGCATTACCCTTGTTGATCTTTCTTATATCCTATAGATCTGTCACTATAATATATAATTTTGTACTTTTTCCGGAATGTGTACAGAATAGCAGACAACTCATAAAAGCAATTTCGATAGACCAGATTACAAAATTACAAGCAAAATATGTATTGGTAGCATTAAGATAAAAGACAACTATATAAGTATAATTGATATCTTTCCTATCTTCAGGTTTTGCACACACAAAAACTGTAAAAAAAAGTTATGTTTTTGTATCGACAATAATATTTCACAAATTTTCAACATTAAAGTTTGTGTACATTTCAGCGGAGTTATATTTTGACGATGATTCATCAGATCAGACAACTACTACTGACAACTCCGTGTACGTGATCCTCGGTGTTACCACAGGGACGGTGTTGCTGGTTGTTATAGTGATAGCTGTTGCCATTAACGTGTACAAGCACATGCAAGCTAAAAAGCTTCATGATTCGCCTCAATCTCCATCTAACAGACTGTTTTCAGACGCTCGCGTTCATCCTCTTGTTTTCAATGGTCAACAATACAACGATAGTAATACCAACGCATTCAACACTGATAGCCCTCCCATATATTCGGAATTACCGCCTCGTCCAATGTCACCGCCTCCAAGATACACTATGTTTGACACAAACACATTCCGTCGTTGACAATATCCAAAACGTGCAACACGGAGAAACATGTTTTATGTTATTCATTCATTTAGCTAATGTCTGTATGCATGTATATTTGACTATGACATTTGAAGATTTGCATTATATGAAACTGAGCAGAAGCGTCCAACAGATATGTTGTTACATTCGATAAACTAAACAAGATAATCTGGATTATAAATTGATTTCTAAAAATACAAAATAATGATTGACGACAATTATTTTGAAAATATGGATGGCTCACGATATTACATGCATATAAAGGGTTTGATAAATTGCAGTCAATTTATCTGAGATGTTTGAACGACTGCCTTGCACTTAATTTAACTTCTTTAATATTATTGGGTAAAGAGAGCAACATATTAAATCTAAATACATGTATATGTATATGTGATACTAGTGGCTCAAAATATTTTATAAGTTTGTCATAGTGAAAACGACTGTGTTAGACATTTTTACAGATAAAGATGAGCGCCGGAGTAAAAATTGCTTTGCTCTATAATTTTTTGTTTCTTTATGAATAACTTTGAAAAAATAAATCATTACAAATACGTTTCTTCTATATCACTAGTAGATCCTAGAAACCACTACATCTATATTACAAAAGCGGCTGTCTAAGGATGTAAAGTCCACACGTATTTTTTGCCTGCTTTCTAGCTTAAAGTATCACATATGAAACAAACAGAATCAACATTATGTGAGCCAGTACTTTTTTGGAAGTTTGACTTCCTGTAAAATATATAGGGTAGAACTAAATATATGAGGCATTTCTATTGGTCAATTTAAAATTGGTCGTTCTAACATTAGTCAAATAATGTTAAGCATCTTCCTTTACATCATTCAGCATCTTCCTGAAACGTAATTTGTCTAGATTGCTGAATGATGTAAAGGTGTTTCTAATTAAAATTCTCAGATATTTGAGATCTATGAACCGTGCGTTCTCTCTTTAAGCATTTTACATTTTCAACTGCTTGTAAAATGTCATTAGATCTCTTGTACAAAAGCTTATTCAACATTCGAATTTACCGATTAAAATGTCATTAATAACTCGGTAAATTTGAGATATATTAATATGTACACGGATACGTCAGTAAAAATACCTGAACACGACAGTTATATTAAGAAATACATTTTGCAGTGCTTCCCAGATTTAACCATATCTTTCTTTTGATTGTAGCAGGAGTATTTTAACAAAATATGTTAATAAGAATGAAGGCTACTTGAAACCTTAAAGTGCCCCACATCAAAGAGTTTAGTATATCGACAAAACGTTATTTGAAAGAGAAAAAACAACAACATAAACTAGTTTTCTAAGCAGACCAAACAAATACTAACAGTATATTGTCTTTAATCAGCTGTCGTCGTCGTTATTTATCTGTTGTCTTGTTTTCCGTTTGTTCATCTAGTTTATATACTTTTAGATATATTTGCAACGCGCCTGTGAGATCTATTAAAGACTTGCTGTTTTGTTGGGTTTTTTAGGTAAAAATTTGATATGGTTATCATATGTTTTTAGTCCCTCACATATATTCATGTAATTTGGCGGTAACGTCTGTACACGTGTCAGTCCGGCAATTCGGGCCGTCCCTTGTATGTTACCCAGAAATAGTGAAAAACAGAATCCCTAAAGAAAGCCCAACACGGCAAAATTGTAAAATGTTGCAGGCTCGGTTTGATTGAGCCTGTTCATGGACGGTACTGGAAAGTGCAAGTTACCGTCCACGCCCCCTAGCACCGACTTAAGCAGGATTCAACATTTAAACACAAAAATGGTGAATTTTGAATTTAGAAACAGCCTCAGATGTGTTTATACGACATTTATCATGGAACCTTCAATGAGACACAGTAGTGTCATTCCATGAAAAGCGGCGTATGGTCCCCAAGTAAAACAAATGCGTGTGTCCTAAACGAGAAAACAATGGGCGGAACTAAATAAAATGGAATTTTGACGGAGGATCTGAGGTTATGAAGCCTGCATATCACAGACAAGACGTTAACATACAAAATTCACAGCCCGTTCAATATAGAACAGTATGCAGAAACTAGGTCAAACGTAGCGGATCCAAATCTCTTCATTATGTAAAACTATGATAATAAATAATAAAAAAACGTTTCTTTTCGTTAAATCCGCTTTTAAGTGATTAAAAGGGTAAGGTCTTTAATCGGGCAAAGAAAGTTGTAACAAAGACACGGGTAATATCTATATAAATGAATATAAAAATAAATATGAAAGATGTATGGAAAAAAACATACAGTGATAAGTGGTATGCGACTTGTCTGATAGTAAGTTCTTAGTCTATGAAGTGAGTCCTATACATGTTTATCATTTTCACTTTACGGCATTTAAGTTAAGGTCGATACAGATATTTGAAAATTTCAACATGGTGAAAACTATGCAAAATACCATTATCAGCACTCTTATAACGTGAATAGAAAGGAATAAAAATAAAACTTACTTTCAAATGTGTACGTATATATCGAATATAAAAGTTTAATGACATCAATTATTAACTTTACCTAAAATAGATAAATACAGAATCCCTAAAGAAAGCCCAACACGGCAAAATTGAAAATGTTGCAGGCTCGGTTTGATTGGGCCTGTTCATGGACGGTACTGGAAAGTGCAAGTTACCGTCCACGCCCCCTAACCCTAAACCAAATGAATATATGACTATTATATATTGTATTAGAATTTACCTAATAAATTTCTGTTTCTTTAATATTGATCTTTTTTATCCTGTCTCCTATATTTTAAAGTCTTTATGACTTGGGAAAGATGCAAAACTTTATATCACTACATAGCCGTACAAACTGATGACTACTCTCTCAAACACATCCCTGGGTGACAACACTTAAATTTCTGTATGGTGTTTTGTCGACTCCAATATTTTTAATATTTATATATTTACCGGGCGAATGTGCACATTATAATAATATAAAAAATAGATAAAGAATAAAGGGTATTTTATTCATTTATTTATATATGTTAGTCATCACTCAAAGATTAGTTTATGAAGTTGTCATAATAAACACGACTGTTACTGTCTAAGTAAACAATTCTAAAAGTTAAAAAGGATCAAATGAATACATATCAATGGTGAAAATATCCCGCGTGGAAAGTTTCATCGTCTACAGCTGCACTTTTGACATTCATAAGACAAACATAAATAAAGATAAATCAATTTTTTAGGTAATATTTGAACCTTGTAATTTACAACTGTCATTACTACATTATTAATCGTCATGGATGTCGTCAGAAAAGAACTTGTTTTGTTCTATAAAAAATATCGCCAGACGCGTTATTACAAATGTCTTCTCTCTTCACCAAATAAAAGAGTCATGTTATAGGGACCAGAACGGGCAGTTATAGAAACCATAGTTAC